ACTCATTAGCTGTTTCTTGCATTACATGATAATCTCTCAGCATTACTCACACATAAAGGCAAGAGGCAACATTAGACACACATACATAACAAATGGATTCAAATGAGCATACTTTACCCAAAGTATTGGCAAGCCTGACTGTTCTGCTTTGTGGGATTACAATAATCCGTCTTTAATTCTTTCCTTCAATAAATCGACTACAGTAATTGCTAAAACTATAAAAAAATATAGATATAGAATGATATATACACTTACACACCAGCCTGAGATCAATAGCTCCATCTGGTGGTCTTACTCAGATTTTTATAACACAAAAGTAATCTTACAATGTATTGTCGAAGGCTTTCATGGCCGGAATAACTGGGTTGTTGTAGGTTTTTTCGGGCTATATGGCCATGGTCTAGAGGCATTCTCTCCTGACGTTTCGCCTGCATCTATGGCAAGCATCCTCAGAGGTAGTGAGGTGTTACAGTTTAGACCGTGTTCATGCATATGTTCCTGTTGTATGCCTTCAAGTCCTTTCTGGCTTATGACAACCCTAAATTGAACCTATCACAAGATGTTCTTGGCACAATTTATTCAGAAAGGGGTTTGAGAGAACGTGACTTGCCTAGGTTCACTCCATGCATTTCCACAGCTCAGCAGAGGATTCAAATTTTAGTCTCCAGGACATCATATTGCCTCCTTTCTGTATATGTACATATGCCTTCAAGTTGCCTATCAACTTATGGAGATTCAATTAATTCCATAGTATTTTCTTAGACAGGATGGTTTTGACAGTTCCTTCCTCAGAAATATAGCGTACTGATTATTCAGAAGAAAATTTCACAATATCTCAAACTGGATTCATTACCCATGGGGGGGGGGGGGGACATTCACAAAGGCTCTTCAGTTCTCAGTAAATACAGTTCCCAGCTCAGCAGCCTCCCATTCCCTGATGTTTCAGTCCCAAAAAGCTAAAGGAGACAGGACTTTTCAATTGTCACAGTGCTGCTGGTGATGTCAAGAGGGGAATCTTGTGTTTGTAAAATTAAAATGTGTGAAAGAGACGAATAGATAGTCAATGTGGAATTTCTTTGCAATTGCCAGAGTTTGACAAGCCATGCTGAATTACTACAGGGTCTTGAAGGAATTCATTTTGCCATTCAGCATTAACAGACTTATTTTTTATTATTTTATTTTATCTGACTTAAAAATAATGCCATCCAATTGTTTGATTCCCTCTCCTTGCAGGGTTCAGCTGGTTCCAACTTTACTTTCTTCTCAGGGCCAAGTCAAAACATGGCTTTTTATTAAAGTCAGCGGCAGCTAGACTACTCATTGGAGCGTCATACAGAGAGCATACCACCCCTTTGTTATGTCAGCTCCACTGGCTGCCGGTCCAATTCCGAGCACAATTCAAAGTGCTGGTTTTGACCTATAAAGCTCTATACAGTTCCAGCCCAGCTTACCTATCCAAATGTATCTCCCTCTACGTTCCACCTCAAAATTTAAGATCTTCTGGGGAGGCCCTGCTCTCGCCCCCACCTTTGGTGCAAATACGCTTGGCGGGGATGGGGGACGGGGCCTTCTCGGTGGTGGCTCCCTGCCTATGGAACTCACTCCCCAGGAAAATCAGGTCAACAACATCCCTACTCGCCTTCAGGAGGAAATTGAAAACGTGGTCATGGGACCAGGCCTTTGGGTAGCTGGCAGATAATTGACAATGTTGTGGAATGATAATGTTGTGGAAAATGGACTATGGACAGGCTTCTGATTGTGTTGTGCTCGCTGAATTTGTTTCTACATAAGGCTAGACAGCCAGTACTATTGCACTTTTCATTAATAAACTTTTTATTTTAAAACTAATTTTGAAATCAATTTACTATGTTTTTATATATTTACGGTATGTATTATTTATATGTAATGGCATCGAATTGTGCTGGATGTAAGCCGCCCTGAGTCCCCCTTCTCCAGGAGTTGAGAAGGGCGGGGTACAAATGTTTGAAATAAATAAATAAATTTGGGGGGGGGGGTTACAGCATTATTTTTTAACCTCCCGAGATACTTTTCAGATGCCAGAGCCTGTCTAATCTTGATTCAGTAGGTTTGAAGGTACTGAATCAATTTGTCACGAATTGATCCATCTCTGATTTTGAGTAAGGCCCTTTCTACACTGCCACATGATCCAGATTATCAAATCAGATAATCCATATTATCTACTTTGAACTGGATTATATGCATCTACACTGCCATATAATCAAAGCTGATAATTTGGATTCCATATGGCAGTGTAGAAGGGGCCTAAGACAGAGGGATCCCCAAATTGTACCAGCTGTCACCACACAGTGATGTTTTGCACTCTAAGGTTTAATGGGATTTCACTGCGAAGTCTAACCTTCCCCTTTTCCAACTTATGATTTTGTAGACTTTTTCCCCCTCTGGGCTATGAGAGTGCTACACACACACAGTTATAGAGCAAAATGTGGAGAGAGAATGGAAAGGTTAATATAAACATTTTCTTTTAATGAAAGCTTTTTATTCTCAGCAAGCAATCTTACATTAGCAAAAGGATATTTTGTACATGAAGGCACCTTCAATCAGGCAATTCTTGGAAGTAGTTACAAAGCTACGAGAAAGAAATCTAAGTCATAATCTGCCAAGGTTAAAAAAGAAACATAAATCCTTATACAAACAGTAAGCACATTCCTATTCCATTCATGATACAGTGTTCTAGGTCTTTGGATGCTTATGGGCGACTGGACTTCCTTAGAAATAGTGAGGGAAGCAGCACCTCCCTTACATCCATTAGACTGAAAGTCCTTCAGAGTCTCTCTCCTATCTTATGGTGCTGGGCTGTTTCATCACTTCTTATACTGGGAGCCTCTCGGAGGTTTTACACCTTTTACAAGACGGTCATCCCTATCAGACAATTGTCATTCTTGATCTCTCTCAGTCCTATACAATGCTGATCCATAACCCATGCTATGATAAACTCTTGATTCATTTGGAGGAAAGCACAATGCCCCTTAGCTAAATTATGGGAGAGCCTATTATCACACCATTGACGCCCTAAAGCAGTGGTTCTCAACCTGTGGGTCCCCAGAAGTTTTGGCCTTCAACTCCCAGAAATCCTAACAGCTGGTAAACTGTCTGGGATTTCTGGGAGTTGTAGGCCAAAACACCTGGGGACCCACAGGTTGAGAACCATTGCCCTAAAGCAAAAGAAAATGTTTTTAATCCAATAATTTAAAATAAATTACAAGATCAGGAAAAAGCATGCAGATGGGTTCATTGTACATCAAAATACACAGCATTCTGGGAAGCCCTGGCCCTTGAGCGCTCTAACTGGAGGTCAGTTGTGACCAGCAGTGCTACAGAATTTGAAGAGGCATGAATGGAGGGTGGAAGGGAGAAACGTGCCAAGAGAAAGGCTCATCAAGCCAACCCTGACCGGAGTCGCCTTCCACCTGGAAACCAATTTCATAACTGTGGAAGAACATGTGGATCAAGAATAGAGCTTCAGTCACCCATGTATCCACTGCCAAGACACTAAACTTGGAAGGCCATCATACTCGGACAACAAGGGATCGCCTGAGTAAGTAAACTCAGCATACACATTTAAATTTTAGATAAGGATAACACTTCTATTTTCAGCCTTATTCAGGATAATATAGTGATAAGTGTTCAGGATAATATAGTGATAAGCAAAAGAAGCAATAATAATAATGAATATGTTACCATAGAAGAAGCCATATGTCATAAAGTAGACTCCAGGCAACCATTCTACTGGATTAAAGTGCATAACCTCTCAGTTTGCAGCAGTCTCCGTTTCAGAGACTTTGCCTAAAGCATGACATAACATAGATGCGAACAATAACATGACAGAGACCTCACCCACGTCTATGATAAAAGAGCAGTCCTGCTAGTTCGGACCAGTAGCCAACCAGATCAACAGTACTGACCCTCAGAAAGCATTATTCCATATCTCTTAGGTCTGGTCCCCTTCCACACAGCTGAATAAAATCCCACATTTTCTGCTTTGAACTGGAATATATAGCAGTGTGGACTCAGATAACCCAGTTCAAAGCAGATATTGTGGGATTTTCTGCCTTGATATTCTGGGTTTTATGGCTGTGTGGAAGGGCCCTGGGTCTCCAGGAACTAGTATTCAAGATATTCATTATGCTGTAACAAACAGAAACTTATTATTATTATTATTATTATTATTATTATTATTATTATTATTATTATTATTAAACATGTGGCAGTGATAGGCGCACTATAATCTTACCACAGGTCGTCATAGCTAGATATCAATGAAATTATCATAGTAAGTAGGGAAGTGACATAGAATAGTGCTACTTGAAGTACTGATCTCTAGGTCAATGCAATCTAAGGCCCCTTCTACACTGCCACATAAAATCCAGATTAATGGCATTGAAGTGGATTATATAGCAATGTAGACTCATAAAATCCAATTCAAAGCAGATAATGTGGATTATCTGCTTTGATAATCTGGATTATATGACAGTGTAGAAGGGGCCTATGAGCTACCTGCTGCCAGTCCGTGCTGAATTTCTAGGAAACAAACATTTGTAGTGAATGGGCATAAATATGCTAATTCATAGCACACCCTGTCAGCCCTCCCCATCAGATAGCTTTAAAACCAGTGACATAGAAGATCATGTACTCCAATATTGACTATAGTTCATTCTGGGTCTCATTGTAGTTTGTTTCAAAGCAATTGCTGTGTTTTCTTGTCATTTTATATTGTATTTTTCATATATATAAGGAGGTCATTCTCAAAGCCACATTATGACAGATATAATTTATGTAGACCAAGTTTGGCTGTAACCCAACAAAGAAGATGAGGCCTTGGATCTAAGCCAATTTTGACTGAACGTAGGCAGCAATCAATCAGGCTGAATCTATGCATTCTGGCTTCGCCATTCATTAATTACAGCCTGACTTTCCAAACACATTGTCCCACCCATTCATTTCCATGTGACCCTACTTACAAGAAGCTGATATTCTGCCGAATCTACTGGCCTTCCTGCCTCCATGCAGGCTGTCAACCAAGCGACATCGAGAAGCCTGTATCTTGAGATGTCTTCCACTTTGTGTATTTGCAGCCATTTCAAGATTTCGATGCAAGAATTATTTTCAGCCACAATGTGAGTGACTGAATCACTAGGAAAAAAACAAGAAAACATAAAGACAAAGTTTGTAGTGACAGGCTGAAAGACAGCAGAGCGGATCATGGAAATGGAAGGTGATTTGCTCTCGTGATACCTTTGAAGACATTTTCAAATTGCATCTGCAATACTCTCCTGACACTCCAGCTCAGTATCAGTTAACATCCTTAAGACACATATTCTTTCGCTGCAGCACAGAAAACATTTGGCTTACCCACATACTATTGTAATGAAGAGCCTCCTTAATACTACCTGACAGCCTTGAGAATAAATAGCGTGCCTGTTCAATGACTGAGAGCTTCATAATAGGCAGGAATCTGTTAAATTAAGCTCTTTAAAGCAATGCCACTGCTAATATTTTCCAATAAACCTTCTGTAGCAAGCAGCAAGTTCTTTACACACAGCAACCAAAAAAGAACACACATAAAATAAACTCCTTTAAATTATGCATTACATCCCAATGCCATATCCTTGATTTTCAGTACCCTAGTCTCTTGCAACATTGATGTTATGGTTTAGATCCCCATAAAGCTGAGTGGGTCACTTAAGACTCTTATCCAAGCTGTTTGCAAATTACCACCCAAGTAGGATAGCACAGAAATGTGCTTGCAACAGAATCGTGTATAGCATAACTGACATATTATTAATCTATAGAATGTAAGCTGGTTGCCAAATCCCATAGGTGATTTGTTATAATTGTACAAAGTTCTCAAACCTTGGTCCTTTATATATTTTTCTCTGGGACTTCATTTACAAGAAGTGCCAGTCAGTGTGGACAAGGAGAGAGAGTTCTGGGAGCTGAAGTCCTAAACATCTGCAGAGCTAAAGATTAAGAACAACTAACCAATGAAGGTCATCGGTCATTGGAGAAGGCCCTCCTCTCAGTCCCATCCCCGTCCCAAGCACGGCTGGTGGGAATGAGAGAAAGGCCTTTCTCCATGGCCACCCCCCCCCACACACACACACACACACACACCTGTGGAACTCCCTTCCACCTCTGGAACTCCCTTCCTAAGGAGTTCAAGATGGCCCCTTCCCTCCCCACTTTCAAGAAACAGCTGAAGATGTACCTTTGCTCACTGGCTTACGAGGAGGGGAAAGAATAGTTGGTAATATTACCATTATATCTCTGATTAATAGCTACCATCCATATCTGTGCCCTGTTCGCCCCACCAGCTCTATAGATATCTTGAGCAAAGGCATCACTATATCAATTTATTTTCCCCCAAGGAACTGGGAAAGTGATGCTTCTGTTCAATGTTTGATTTTTTTAATTTAATTTTAGTTATTAAGTCATAATTTGTTTTTATATGTTGGGTTGCCAAATTTCGTTACTATGGATGTATTGTTGTTGTTGCTGTGTTTGGGCATTGAATATTTGCCGTTTATGTTTGGAATCTGCCCTAAATCCCTCCAGGGAGATAGAGCGGAATATAAATAAAGTTTTATTATTGTTATTATTATTGCATATCTCATATTTGGAATCCCAAAATCCAGAACACTCCAAAATTCAAAAATGTCCACATGGGTCACTGATATAGTGATGCCTTTGCTTTTCAGTGGCTCAATGTATTCAAACTCCATTTCATGCCAAAAACAAATGTAAATATGTGTATAAAATTACCTTAAGGCTATGTGTATATGAAAAGTAAATAAATCTTGTGTCTAGACTTGGGTCCCATTTCCAAGATATCTCATTATGTCCATGTAGGTATTGTAAAATACAATACAGAACTCTTCTGGTCCCAAGCATTTCAGATATGGGATGTTCCACCTGTATCATAGTGAGCTGCTGTAGTGCAAGCAGGGAATTATCACTGAAACTACAAGTGCAATGGCTTGTACAGAGCTGAGGAACTTATGATTTTTCACATGTTAGACTCCAGCTTCCATCAGACCCAGCCAGCATGGTCTTTCATCAAGGTTGATGGAAGTCTGACTGTAACAGCATCTGGAGGCACACGTACATTGAAAATATGGTCTGGCAGCTGCTGGAATGCATTACAAAGAATAGTTCAGTGCTGTTAAACATGGCAGAGAAATACAAATCTCCTGGGCTCAATATCTCAGTGACAGTAACAAGCCCTTCTGGACACCATTTCCCAGTTTAACCAGATGCTGAATTTAGAATTTGCAAATGAGATGGTTGAGGAGATATAATGGCCTTTGCCTCCCTTAGCAATGAATCCTTGCCAGACCCATGGGGTATCAAACACAACCACTGTACCTTAATAGTATAATCTAAGGTCCTATAATACTTTGGTAAACTGTATTTTCAGCTTCAGCAGAAGAGGCAGAACATGGACTGGATGAGCCTTTGGTGTCTTCCAACTCTATGAACCATCACGAGCTCTAAGATCTTCCGGGGAGGCCCTTCTCTCGGTCCCACTACCGTCTCAAGAGTGGTTGGTGGAGATGAGAGAGAGGGCCTTCTCAGTGGTGGCCTCCCATCTCTGGAACACCCTTCCAAGGGAAAAAAGACAGGCCCCATCCCTCCCCTCCTTTCATAAGAGCTTGAAGACTTGATGGTTTCAACAAACCTTTGAAAATGAACAGTTCTAACTCAGCCCTACACATTGTTGAATACAGCCTTATTCTTCCTACCAATTACCCAAATTCTTTCCTCTAATCAGCCCCGGAATAAACAGTCACAGACTCATACCTAACCCTAACCCGGGCCCCCTAGAATTTTTGGGCTTGCATAAATCTTGGCCCTGCCTTTTAAATTTTTAAATTGCCTTGAACAGGCAGGATTACTTTTAATGTATGTGTGTTATGGTGACAATTTTTATGCTTATATTTTGTTTTGTTAAGCTTATGGTTATGTTGTTTTTTTTACTTTGTATGTTTTGTGATGTTACCTGGGAACCGCTCTGAGTCCCCTCGGGGAGATGGAGCGGTATATAAATAAAGTTTTATTATTATTATAACTCTGTGACTCTATAATTTTATACTTTCTTCCCCTTTCTACTTATCTTTGGTGCTTGTATGTGTACTTTATACCACTTACAACCTTATCAGATGGGCAAAATTGGCCATCCTATGACACTTTGAATTCAGTTGAGGCACAAAGTTCACCAGCTCTTATCACACAATGTTGGCCTACTTCCAGTGGAGCTCCATGTCTCAACTGAAGTTCAAGTGTGGTAAGAGGCCACTTCAGCAACATGGTAGGCTTCCCATGTTATATAGGAAACAATGGGGGGCGGGGGGGAATCAGGCAGTGATGCATACCCCCAGGGATGGGGTGAGGGGGAAGGTGGGTGAGGGGTGGGTTCCCCTCACCCGCCCCCCACTGGGCCCCATTGGATTCGCCACAAACCACAACAAATCATGACCTCAGTTTGATGAGGCCCCTAGTCACTGGTTGGGATGTACAAGTGTCCAAGCATGTCCCACTTGCAGGTAAGGATGGGTGGTTTTGAATGCCAAAATAAGGCTGTTTGGTCCTCCCTGGGTACTCAAGAAGAATAAGTGAAATACACTCAGATAGATAGAGAGATAGGGAGAAGATCAGTGGCTAGAAAGATGGGACTCTGCCTGCAAGGCTATTGTTGAGCATCTAGGGTGGAGTCATCGTGAAAACGGGTACTGAATTCCTCCTTCTACAATACCTCAGGATTAAAATCCATATGCTAACAAAATTAAGAGCTGTACTAGCATATGCCTCCAACGGAATGCCATCCCATAGGTTTTCTTAAAAGACTACTGTGACCTTCAGTTAGTAATTCCAACTGAGTGTAAAGCAGTTTGTTCTTACAAAATTGGGTACAAGGCTCCAGACTGAGAACATAATGTTATGTGCAAAGACTCAGAAGTCGGTGCCATTGAACTCAACTAGATTTACTGCCCAGGTACATTAGTGTAAGATTGCAACCTAAATATCTACATGAATGGATTCACTCTGCTACATATTTTCTTACCAACACATTGTTAAGTTCTCTTCTAATTACACTACTGCACTTTCCCTTGTTGTCTTGGGGAGAAAAAGAATTCAGTTAGAGATGCTTAACTTCTGCTTCCTGTGGTTTTTATCCCTCTATATAAAACGTGCATATCTAATGTATTTGTACACAGCTGACAATCTGGGAACTTTGCCATTTCTACACTCACAACAACAGTTCAGCCAGCAGTGCCCCAGTTTCCTCTGATAGTTTTACAGCTGCATTGTATTCTTGGCAGAAATTGTAAAGAATGTAAAATTTCCACAGATATTGTTGACAGTTTAAAAAAAAATGAAATCATCCCAACAGTTAAATGGTCCTGGATGAAGAGAATTCAAAACAGATACCGGAAAAAAAACAAGTATCTACCCATCCACCATTGGGGGCTGAATCATGTTGGCAAGACATTTCTTCTCTTATTTATTTATTTATTCATTCGTTTGATATCCTTTCTCCCAGATTGGGGTGCATAGCAGCTTCCAACATAATTAAATGTTCTAATAAAACAGCACACATTATACATTAATTATACATATTTGAGTACTAATTAAATTAATTGTACTAGTGAAATATCAGTTAAATCATTTAATCATCAGTGAACTGCAGCTGGCTACAGGGAGTACATGACTCCCTTATTGTAATAGCTCCACCAGTGCTGGTTCGATGTAGAATGCCTTATACAGCTTGGGTTCAGGTTATTTGAAAGATCTTAGGTATAGGTAAAGGTTTTCCCCTCACATTAAGTCCAGTTGTGTCCAACTCTGGGGGTTGGTGCTCATCTCCATTTCTAAGTTGAAGAACCAGCATTGTCCATAGACACCTCCAAGGTCATGTGGCCAGCATGACTGCATGGAGTACCGTTACCTTCCCGCCAGAGCCATACCTCTTGATCTATTCATACTTGCATGTTTTCAAACTGCTAGGTTGGCAGAAGCTGGGGCTAACAGCAGTAGCTCACACCTCTCCCCGGATTCAAACCTGCGACCTTTCGATCAGCAAGTTCAGCAGCTCAGCAGTTTAACCCACTGCACCACTAGGAGCTCCTTGAAAG